GGTTTGCTAAACCGCACTTCGTAGCACCGTCCCCATTTCACTTTAAGCTTCACTTTGTAACACATCGCCACACCGTTCAGGCACCCATCTCCTTTCTGAACTTCACTGAAAAGTTGTGCAGAAGAAAACGTCTCAGCCCCTTTACAAGATTTTTTTTCCAGAAACGAATGAAATAAAATGTAGCAATCAAGTCCATCCGATTTCCCACTTACTGGAAAAGGATGTGCGCCAGCGCTGTTTAAACGGCCGGTTTTAATGATCTTTTGCGGTAGACTTTTACGGGAAGAGCACATTTGCTGAGTATTTCCAAACAAACAAAAAGGCGAGAAATGTTTATTATCCACACACAAGGTGGGTGTGGCAATGTGTGAAGACCCGCAGTAAATTTTCCAAACCCTGAACTCTCCCTGAGGTTTACAATAGAATTGGGGGATTACAGACCTACTCTTAAAACTACATCACACACAGAAAAAAAAGTCTGAGCTACTTTCAGTTCAATTCTGTTTGTTCAATTTTCATGGTTTACTGGGAAACAAGGAACAAAAACTATTGTCTGTTTCTTCTTTTAAGTTTTCCCTCCTTTAATCGAGTCGTCTTTGAAAAAAAAGAATGACTCGTAATACTGTATAGAATGAAACCCAGGACACAGAGATGGAAATTGGCAGCAGCTCAGTAAACTGTCCTTTACATTCCTCTTGTGCCAATGTCTTTTTGACTGTTAGCCTGATTTCCAGTTTCCAAGCTGTATTTTGTCATCAACCGGGTTCGATCTCACAACCGCTCTCCCTTTGTTTTAATGTTATAAACACAGAGGTTTGGGCTGCGGTGTCAGGTTCTGCAGCGGTACAGGGAGTTGCTCTCAACGGCTGACCTGGCGAGAAACGCTGGGGAAGCTCAAACACAAGCAGAACTCACTTCACGTTCAAAATTTTTAGCAGCCAGAATTGCAGTAATATTTTAATCGGGGTAAACTGCACCGATGGGTGGTTTTCTTCCCCCAAATGTGTTCTGGTAGGGCCCAGTCATCTTGGCAGGCTCTGGGATAAAGAAACCCGATATATGTGTAGGGTGGGGGAGCAGGGGTTTAACTATTTTCTCTCTGTAACTTCTATTTCCTTTCTCCGCAGCCGCTGCCTAACAGCATTTCCAGCTTGTTCTTGTCTTGTATTTTAAATTACAGCCTTCCAGCATCCGCAGTATTTTACCGCTGGCTTTGGCAGTGGGTGCGGTGAGGTGTGGAAAGAGTTAACGGGCTTTTGTCAATCCACTTTTGAAAATCTCCTCAACGCTGCAGAATGCGTGCTGTTGTTAATCTCAACTCGATCAGATTACCGCACCCGGCTTCTGCACACAGGCCGAGTTATTCTGGGAGAGAAGTGATGCAGAGGAGGAGGGGGGGAGGCTAATAGGTGACAGGCGGGTGAGGGCGGGAGTTGAGGGAATGGAAAGATGTGCTGACGGAGAAGGACATTTGTCGGCTTTAGATCAGATGACAGTTTCCTTTCTTCATTACAGTTCGCGTCCCTGAACTGCCAGAGAGAAAACTGGAGCTCGCTTCCCCCTCAACATGAAACTATCCGCCTTCAATTTCTATTCTATTGTGAGCCTTTGTTTTAGCCAATCATATTTTGAACGCTGCTGCCTCAACAAGTGGATTCCAAAATAAATGGGAAAAAAATCCACATTAAAAGTGCGCCAATCACCAGATAACCTCGTTATATCGGCCAGCATCAAACTAACACTACTTATTGTTTTTAATGCATTCGTTGCTGCCTATATTTTGCATATTAAATCGCACTGCTTTCTGACGACCTGATTCTTAATAAACCATTTTAATCTAATAAACTTGCTTTTCTTTTATTTTCTCCGTCAATATCCTATCGATACAGGCAATAGCTAGATCGAAGATCTGCGGAACATATTAGTAATTTTCAACATGTGAGCTTTGTGTTTAAGTTGACTCTACCCTGACTATCTGAGAGGGTTTCAGCCCTTCCGAGAACCGGCTGCGATGAGCAATGACGTTAAAGTATTAAAAAGACTAAAATAAAATAATGCCGAGCGGATTTCAGGGATTAATCCTTCGTGAAGGTAAACAGGCGCAGAGTACAAAAGCTGACATTGTTCGTATCGGCAAAAGTAACAGACCAATTCTCCATGACGCCGAGGATAATCAGATAGAGAGTGAAAGACAGACACCGAGAGAAATAGAGACATAGGGAGCTGGATAGAAAGAGTGAGAGAGTAGGGGAAGAATGATACAGAGTGAATTAGGGAGCCACTGTGGGAGGAAGACTTGTTAATTTCGGAAAACAGACAGTGACACATAAGGACAATAGTATTAAGCCAGATTGATGAACTAAATTCCTGTCTCTTCATGACCACATAAATTCTCTATATGAAATCGTTACTGCGGTATTTTAAATAAAATTATTACGTTGACTTTAGCACACATACCAGGACAGATACAATGCAGGTGGGGATATTACTAGATATTGGTCAATAGATAGAAATATTAACATACCATAAAACGTCCGAAAACAATTGACACACAATGAATTGCTCTAGAATACTGTTCAAATTGCTGTATTGATGTAAAATGGAGATTTCAAAGTGACACAAATAACCCACTGTTTAAAAGTCCAACATTGCAAACGGAATTCGGTCGCACCTGATCAAATTTGATCAATACCAAAGGAATATTATAGACCGATATTAACAAGGAAATGTGGACCACTACTGGGGAGTAGCTGAGAGTGGAATTACATATCGAAATGCCTCAGTTACAAGGGGAGATTGACGATATTTCCGTATGAAATATCGAACATGGTTCATTTCCAAAACGAAACGCTTTCTTTGTTTTTGATATGAGACAGTGTTTTGTAAGCGTGACCTGACAATTTTTATGTTGTGTCTGATATATTGTCCTAAGTTTGCAACTTTGGTCTGGATTTATTAAGCCTTCAATATAAATTTCACACAAATATGGTATTTTTGTGTGACATTGTGCTGTTATTCGTGATAAAGTGTCCTGACTACTGCAGAATTGTGGAGGGTGCGGGAGTGGGGGTGGATGCAGGAGCTGAATGAGAGGAGATACATTATCTGAAAGAGAAGGAAATGATGATGCAGTCTTTCTTAAGTCTGAATTTTACACCAGTTCGTACGAAATAACCTCAATAGCTTTGGACACGTCTGTGGGGGCAAAATCTTTGAAAATTGTACTCATTACGTTATGTTCTCATCCAATAATCTTGACATTTTAATATTCACAAAACAGAGGCGTTTTGCCACAGCCAGGAATCATCAACCCAGCTGCACAAAGCCTCCCTTTGTTTCCTAGTTTCGAATTCTTTTTTAAGTAACTTTGTTTTTTTTTCATAAATAAAGATACTAATATGCGAACGTCTCGAGGAGAGATCTCTCAGGTCTTTCAAATTAAGAAGCCAAAATAATTGCGAAAAAATTCCTTAGAATCTGCATCAATTAATAGACCTTACCAACACGCGTGTAAAATAAAATAGACTGAGAATTTAACAAGCGCCAATCAAAAATTGAGTGGATCTAAATGCTTGGATTAACAAGAAAAACTACACAAGGATTCTCCTCCCATTTAAATTAGTTTAGCTTAAATTACCGGGTAATTAATTTTCTCCTTATTAAATTACTATTTAAGATCCCCGGCTAAGTTTTAACTCTTGAATAATTCAAATCATGTTAGCCAAAGACTCGAAATTCTCAATGGCATGTAAATATATATGTTTATATGTATTTAAATCGAGAATTATCATTGATCTTTCTATGTCTATATTTTACATTGAAAATTATCAGTGGCCTATGTACCTGCATTTTACTTTGACAATAACCAATGGCCTATATACTTCTATACTTTACTTTGAAAATTATCAGTGATCTGTATATATTTATATTTTATTTAGAAAAGTCTCAATGGCCTGCATATTTCTATATTTTACATTGACAATTGTCATGGCCTGTATATTTCTATATTTTACATTGACAATTATCAATGGCCTGTGTATTTCTATATTTTACATTGACAATTGTCATGACCTGTATATTTCTATATTTTACATTGAAAATTATCAATAGCCTATATATATCTATTTTACGTTCACTTGCAACACTTTATAGAAATTTGTTCATTTAAAATGTCTGCATCCCTGGAAAAAAAAACAAGGAAAAATGGGGGAAGGAGGGGTCAACCTCAATCCCAGCCCAGTGCTGATCTTATTGCTGCCTCCTCCTCGACATACCCTCTCAGTCAACGGAGGTTCCTTGCAATTGTACTTATTAAATTCAGGTCATAAACGTATGCAAATAACATGAGGCTGAAAACGGAGGGAGTGGTGTGGAGTGGGGGGGAGGGGGGCGCTGTGGAGCGCCATGGGTTTGGGTAATTTTGACGAAATGAGCAGCTTGCGAATCGAATCCATGTGCAAAATTCATAACCGGCGACTACAAACGAATATCCGGGGGAGAATTTTCATAAGAAAATCAAACAAAAACAAAGCCGACCGATTTCGAATGTTACCGCCTGAAATGACTCGGTAATAACTGAGCCCTGTGGCTGTAGTGAAATCCTACGCGCTGCGAGAATTTCTTAATTCAGCTACAAATAAAAAAACCCACTCTGTAAATGTGGAGATAAAATGTCTCCACGATCTGGATGATTCCGCAGTATCAGGCGTTCTTATCCTATCTGTTTAGTCTATGATTGTGTGGGATAGTCTGCAATCTGAGATTCACAGCCTGATTTAGGGGACGCTCAATCGGTTCATATTCCAGTTTAATACAAACGACCAGAATCGTTGGAAGGACACAAACGGGTTTCTCACACATCCTGAACCTTCACCTGCAAAGTCACCACTGGTCCATCGGAAATATATGGCTTCCAAAAACTTAAGGCAGAATCTATAATTCCCTTCAAAAATGCCGGGTAAGCAACAATAAAGATTCCCTCCTGTTGAGGTTAGACTTACCTGGAGTGGGCGGTGGGAGTCTCGCCATTTTCCGGCCATGTTCTCATTCGGATCTGGGAGCCGAACCTGCCTCAATGGGAGTTTATTTCTTTCTGAAAAGGTTCTTTGTGACACCGAATCGGGCCGGCAAGAGTGAACCAGCTCTCCCTCTCTCTTTGAAGGCCGCTCAGAAACCTCTGAAAGTGTTCGGAGCCCCGTCCAAACACATCTACATGAAATTTTCCACAGGGATTCGGAGCCCTTGCCCCTCTGGAGTGTCTGCAACAATTATTTGAGTAGATCCTCCTTCCAGCGTCTCCCAACTGCAGATCCTATACTCCAACCTCCCACTACCACCACCACCAACTACACCGCCCCCCCCCCCCCCCCCCCCCCCCCCCCCCACCCCCCCCCCCCACACACCTCCACTTCCCCACCTCCCGGCTCGGCTGTTTGAAGCTACCTGTTTCATTGGCAACACCGCCAGACAAAGGAACGAGTGGAGAGCGGTCGCTGGTACATGCCTTCCGTGATACCGGATCGCAAATCTGCTCAACGGACTGTCTCTTGTCCCTGTACCGTCAGGAACGGGAGCCGCTGGCTCTGTCTGTCCGCTTTCTGCTGGGATCTGCCCCAATCCTCCTCACCATCTCTCTCTTTACCTCTCTCTCTATCTAACCCATCTTTCTCATTCTCTCTCTCTCTCACGAATTAACTGAACCAAACAAGTCCAAGGTGGGGATTTGCCCGCAAAGACAGTAAACATCTTCCCCTTTCTTTCATTCAGTGGTCATCTTATCTCACCCGCTCTCTTTCTTTCTCTCCAATGTCACTGACTCTGCAATCTCTCCAGGTGAGTTTTAAGGTGGCTCAGAGATGAACCAAGCTCACCTTAAGAAGCACAGGCACATACCATTCCTCGCAACGAGCCCGGATCTACCATCAGGCCTGGGCAGGGAGGGAGGAGTTATGGGGGTTTGGGGTGGGCGCTGAGATGGTTCATTTTAGAAATACCTTTCTGCAAAATTATACAAGAGCAAGCGGGCCTGTTCACAAAGCAACATGTTAATGGGAGTAGCTTGTTGACGGAGATCCTCTGGTGTAAAAGCACTGCTGTGTTTTCACTGGCTGGAGAGGATATGCGGTCATGGTGCTGCTGTGGGATTGAGTTCCCTGCTGACACACCTACCTGTTCATGCCGCAGGCCGCTGTGATCACTGTCTGCGGTTAGAACTCTCTCCCAGGCTAACCCTTCTCTCTCTGTCTCTTTCTTTCTGTCTTCCCCCGTCTCCTCTCTCGCTCTCCCCCTCCCCTGTCACTCCCCAGCTTGCTCACTGCCGATTCAAGCGCAGGGAGTCACCAAGTTTTTACAAAGTACTCCCTCTGCTCTGTGTGAGTGTGTGTGATGAGGAAGCCAAGCGCTCACACAGGACAGACAGCTGCAGTCCTCCCCTCCCTGCCAGCTGGGGGATGGGATTAGTATTACCTGACCTGTACAGAGTGTTCGACTGACATCTTAAACCGCGGTCTAATGATAGCCAGTTGACATTTTTAAGTGAATGGGGATGCTGCCGGCGCCACTCCCCACCTCCCAAATACACACTTTTCACGGCTCTGCATGGCCTCCCCGAGTCTCTTGCTTGCCGCGGGCATTTCATTGAAATCTAACGTCTAATCGCGTGTTCTGCACTTTGTCACTGTTTTGCTGACGTTCCCAATCTCTGTCTCCCAGTGTCTCTCAATCTCTCTCTCAGCCTCTTATACCTCTCCGCCTTTCTCATTGTTTCTCTCCCTCTGTCGCTTACGTTTGTCACTCTGCTGTCCCCCATCTCTCCTTCTCTATCGCTCCGTCTGATGGTTCATCTCACGCTCTCTTTTTGGTCATCCTCATCTGAGCCATTGAAATTGAAGTTCAACTTTAAACGAATATCCCACCCCAGCCCCACCCTAGCACACGCGCTAATGAGGCATATACCGATCTTGGAGCTAACGCCTGCTGTACAGGCTGAAATATGTGTTGCAATTATATTTTACAAACACTTCTAAAATGTTCCAAACAGGCAATTTTAACAAATAATGGCAGCTTTGCAGCTCATTGTAACCCGGATTCTCAATTCGGTGTTCTACTCCTGATTCATTAGTGGTGCCTTTTTAAACCTATTTTGTCACTTCTTCATAAAATTTCCAATTTAACTTTATTGTCCAAACTCGCCCTCTCACAGGTGAATAATTTCATGGTAATAAAATTCGCTAAATCGCACTGCACCTCTCCGCCGTCCATTAGCTCTTTCTTTGTGTGCATCTATCTGTATGTGTGGGTCTGTCTATATGCATTTCTGTAAATGTGAGTGTGCATCTCAATTGTGCAAATGTGTCTTTCCATATGAATGTCCGTGAGTGTGCGAATCACATCTGACCTGTTCAGTAATCCATTCAGCATTATCTTCTAGTTTTGCTTCCAAGCCTGGGCGTCTCTCTCGTTCTCCGTTCTCGGTGCTTCCCCTCTTGTCTAACAATTCCGAAAGATCGGATGTCATGGTGCAAATGAATTTCCTCGCGCCCCCTCTGTGTAGCCTCTTCCAGGCTGCCAACAGCCAGCCTTCGTCATCAACATCATCCTGGAACCACAGACAAGTCTCTGCTTTAGAGTCTCCCTTCCGTTTACACAGGTAACAATTTCAGACACGCATTCTTTACACGTAATTATACATCTGCTCACAAAGCAGAAACCGAAAGAGCTGTTCCAGAGTAACCTTTCTCTAGATGCAGTTTACCATTGAGGTGAGGGTAAGGGATTGAACAAGTGGTGAAAGCAGTTTTAACAAGCGCTGTGCAGCATATATTCACTGTCAATTTAACCATCACCCTCCAAATCTTTCCAAAACCAGGCTGAATTAGACGGAAACAAATTTATGCTCATGCGATTTGATTTTTTTTAAAATGAACTCAAATAACTACACAGTATGACTACAGCTTGTTCGGTAAAAAAAAGGATGGCATAGAAATTGCTGGAGAAACTCAGCAGCTCTGGCAGCATCTGTGGAGAGAGAAACTGAGTTAAGTTTTGAGTCTGTTGTGGCTCTTCAGAGCTCTGAAGAAGCAAGAATCATATTGGACTTGATACATTAACCCTTTTTCTCTCAACATATACTGCCAGACCTGCTGAGTTTCTACCAGACCGTCTGTTTTTATTTCAGATTTCCAGCAACCCCCTACTTTGCTTGTAATTAATAAAGAGATGTGCGATTGACCAGTTTTACATCATGGATTAAGAGGAGCAGCTTCTGGTCTTAATAAGTGGGGCTGGGGTGACAAGGATAATGACACGAATGCTTTGCTAAGTTCATTTAGTCGAGCACTTAGATTGGCCAAGGTCACTTTCATTGATATCAGTTCTCTATTCCCAGATATTTCTGAGTAACTCATTTCCAATTCTCAAACGGCGAAGATGGAGTTGTTGAGAGCATGTTTTCTGGCTGATTGATCTAGGATTACTGGCCAATCACATTGACACTACCTTGCTCTAATCTTGTTAACTTTCCAATTTCTTGAGAAATAATTAAAGATCTTGGGAAAGCAGACTTGTATCATTCAAGTAATCTGAAATATTACGTACAGGTGAGGCAAGGGATCTGGATTTGTACTTCACACATTCAACGTATTTCTACCTGCTACCACCTCCTTTCAAATACATTTAGGGCGAGTTAAACCACAGTCCCAGGCCTGGCAACAGCTTTTTTTGAATAAGAGAAAGTTCTGCAGTAAATATGAATTGAGGGTAGGGATATAAAATGGTATATTTAGCATACTATAGGGGTCGAGCTTGTAAGTTACATCAGGTTAATTAATAATACAAATATATACAAGATTACTGCATTTGCAATTATTGAATGAATCTGAAATAATTTTGTTTATTTACAGAGAATTTGGTCACCAATCAGTTTTCCTTTCTGACCGTCTCATCCCACACCCGCCCCGCAACCACCACCCCCCCATCCAATCGATAAAACTGTTTAAATCCAATTACACATACCTGCCCATGGACTTCGCTTGTTACCTTGTCCATGGACATTTTTTAAAAAAAATCATTCATGGGATGTGGGCGTCACGGGCTACGCCAGCATTTATTGCCCATCGCGAAGTCATCCCCTCTCCGTCCATGAATCGATTTCGACCCGGTTACCCATTCTCTGATGATTAACCGGTTTGAACCCAGTTACCCATTCTCTGATGATAAACCGGTTTGAACCCAGTTACCCATTCTGTTTACTGTAATCAGAATCAACCTCCTATTAACCAGAAACCCCACGATAGCAATAACCATTCTTGACCAAAAATTCTTTGCAACATTTGTTGTGAATAAAATTAACGATAAAAATTAACGTGTCCCTATTAAAATTCATGCATTAATTCTATTAGCTTTGAGTTTAGCATCTGGTTGATGCATGTTGCAATCGCTATTGGTAGGACGGCAAATTTGTTTTGCTCTAAACGGCGACCCAGTTTTCCTGGTTAAAAACGTTGTGTGAAAACGTGACTCAGGGAGAGACAGCGTGGAATGACAAATGGAGGTCTCCAAACTCTCCCTCCCTGTCTCCTTCAGATCTCTCGATATTTTAACTCACTCTAGCGCCTACCTGAGCATCCAGACGAGTTATCTGCCCTCCAGGCCAATCTCTCTTTCTCCTGGTTGGACTGTCTGTCCTTGGCCAAGGCCCTGAATCAGGATTCGTGGGCGCCAGACGATTTCGTTTCTTCGAATTCTGTCTCTGCTCACTGTAAAACCGAACGGAACGGCAAAGTATTGACGAAGCATCGACTACCCACCTCCCCATTTACTTCTCGGAACATAACTACAAAATAAATAACAAAAATGAAGCAAATTGACCTGGGGGAGGGGTGGGGGGGGGGGTAGTTGAGAGTGGGACAGGCGAAGAGTGGAGGTCAAGTACAAGAGCAGGTTTGATCCTCTCTGCCAAATTGGCACTCCCTTTATACCAGTGCAGCTACCCAGTCTGTCCTCTTGTGAGTCGGCTTGTTTTCCCCGCTCTCGCTTACCTGCTGTTGACAATGACTCAGATACGTTTAGAAGCCCCTTTTCCATATTTGATGAAGTATCTGAACTTGATCCTGTCTCTCTATCCCCCACAAGCCCCTCCCAACCAACAAGGCCTCACTGTCTTTTCAATCTACTCCCTGCTTTCACCAAACCCGGGCCGGGCTCCCTGGGAAAGGAATCCAACCAGACCTCATTGTTTCGTGCCCACGTGCGCTGGAGCCCGACAGTATTGCACGAAAGGCGACCCACCTGA